CACACTGCTTGCCAATGATATGATCCACATGCTTTAACACCTTTTTAGTGGCAGAGCAACCCAGGAAAACTCCCCTATCTTATTTCAGATCTAACCTAGACCTGTAAAGACCCAAAATATGTACTGACACATCTAAAAACACAAAGAGGACTGAATAATGGATACTCATCAAGAGACAAGGACAAAGAAGACATGCTGTCAAGCAACCTAGATGGCATCCAACTGATCAAATAATCAGTTGTAAGAAGTCCTACTTAATACCTGGGGAGAACATTCATAAAATACAATAGCTGCTGAAATACTTCTTAAAAGATGTTTATTTTTCCATTTTCCCACTACAATATATTGGAATTCGGATTAGCTGAACGTGATGGCTGTTCAGCAGGCTGTGGAACCAATGATGAGGTTCCACGCCAGTAATAAATTCATGGGCACAACTGTAAAAGGTGTGGGCCCCATGTATTTAAACACTGGCATGGAACCTTATCATTGGTTCCACAGCCTGCTGAACAGCCATCACGTTCAGCCAAATCTTGCTCATTATATCGAGGAGTGTAAGCACACAAAGTTTGATGAAGAAAGCCTAATTGTATAAACATAACAAGATCCTTTTCAAGTATTCTGTACCATAATCAAATCTGTAAATTTTTGCTCATCTTTCAGACTAAGTATGAATCATGGAATGATTTTCTTTTCAAATTCCAAGAACATCATCCCTTTATTCTAGCATTTACAACCATGAAATACAAGAACAATCATCCAGAAATTTGGAAGAAAAAAAATCAAATACCACCACAAAATAATAATGGAAAAAGGAAAAAGGAGTAATTTTATTATTTTAGAGCAAAAAGATGCTCTACAATGTTTAGATAACTGATAGACATCACACTACAGACTTGACACTGCACCTAGACTTCGGTAGGACTCTGACTCTAACTAACAAGAAACACATTGCCCTAATATTAACAGACGTGACACTTAAGCAACTGACTAGAAGAAAATAAAAACCTTGGCCCTATATTTCATTCAAGAAACACTCCCCAAAATGCTGCAGGCTTCACCCAACCAATAAATATGGGGGACAAGAAGTTCTTGTATGGGCGGAAAATATAGGAAAATAAGAAATCCACAGTCCGCTAAATAATATGAGACCACTTAGGAGTTGAAATATCAAAACCTGTATTTTCTCAATTTTTACACCATAAATTCCAGGAAAAATCTTAATTCCATTAAAAGGACATAAAACATTTGATTAAAAAACTGTAGAATTCTGTTTTATTTTTTATAAATGGTGAAATATCATTAAGACTTAAGAGGGTGAGGAGACCTCAGAAGAAACAAAATATAGAAGCTGAATACAAGAAAAAGGGTAAAGAGAGCATGGGAGCAAGAGATTCCCCACATCAAAAAARATGAATCAAATATTACAGAATTTCAATCCTTAAGACTTAAGAGGGTGAGGAGACCTCAGAAGAAACAAAATATAGAAGCTGGAGCTGGATGGAAGAAAAAGGGTAAAGAGAGCATGGGAGCAAAAGATTACCCACATCAAAAAAGATGAATCAAATATTACATATTTGCAATCCTTCTGAAGTGAACAGAGTGGTTCCCTCAAACTTCTTAAGAACCAACACCTAGCACCTGACATTGTTCCTCACATTTCTGCCTTCAAGGGTGGTTCCCTCAACAGTAGCGTTTCTGCCTTCAAATATCCTCATATTTTTTTCCTTTCAATACATACCAATAGATACCTAAAGGAGACAAGTTCCAACTTACCCTCCCTCTGATACTGACCAATGACAAGCCACAAGGACATCAGAGTAGGGAAATCATTGGGCAAACTCACTGTTAATAAATCCTGCTCTATAGAACAGTAGGATCCTTTTCTTCAGAAGCCATTGACCATCTGTAACCATGTTGACATCATTTAGCAGCCTTCTGGCAGCAAGGTTTCTTCTTTCTGTACAACAACTAGGGTTGGCCAACCAGATTGGTTCTGATGGCAACTCAAAACATAAAAACAGACCAAATAGGGAGGTAAAAGATATAAATAAGTATAGAAAAGAGAAGATAAACTAATTTCATTGAGAGAAAGAATCCAAAAGTCTGAGTTGTACTGGTACACCCTCCTATCAGAATAATGAACCAAATAATATGACAGTACAAATTGTTCCAATCAGAAAGGAAATGTGTATTATGAAAACAAATGAGGAACATTTATTTTTGAAGCCAACATTTCCAGATATGGATTAAAAATATATCCACCATAGATTTAGCAATGCAAGGAATGAGGTTGGATTTACAATTAGGATTGATGACTAAGGGATAATACAAAGTGATTATTTCCATTACTATTGTTCAATAATTAATAGTAAAGGAGAGAGCAACGAGAATGTTGTACATAGAATTAAATTGGAGCAGATGAAGTGGAGAGGTCCATCTGGAGTGTTGTGACCAGAGAATATAAATCAGGTTAAAAGATAACTTCAAGTATAAAGCCCGTAATAAGGGGCAAGAGTATAAGAACATAAAAATGAAACATATCTTAACAATAAGCAAAGCCGAAATGCATATGCTGAGATGCATGAATGGCAAATGTAGAAATTATATAATTAAAAATGAGTGTATTGAAGGAGATTTAGAAGTTTCCCTGAGGTTATAAAATGGTCAAAAGCATACTAAGATGGTTTTCAGAGTGCATAAAGACCATATACTGCATTTCTGCACCAATAAGAAGTAAATCAATACAAGTTGAAAGGTCGAGAAAAGCTAAAGATATAGATTGAACTAGTGAAACATTAATGGAAGGCCATGTTTTTTTAAATCAGTTATGTCTCCCCATCACAAGTACATTGAGGTGCTCCTATTGAGGCTAGAGACCCCATAAAGAAAAAACTAAGTTACAACTGAGCCCAGAACATAGATTCCCTAACTGTCCCTTGCTTAGCTAATCCATCAGCAAAGGAGTTAGCAGATCTCTTCACCCAAATGAGCTTGATTTCCATGTCTTTAACCATCCACCTGAACTTTTTCCTTTCATTGCTGTAAGCCCATAACCCAGCCTTGTCTTCTTTCAACCACCCAACTACCACCTCCAAGTCCCCATAAATTACAAGTCTTCTAATGTTCATTTCCTTTGCTCTTTGGACACCTCCCACAACTGCATAGGTTTCAGCTCTGAGAGAATCACTCATCCCAATCGGGCTTGAGAACAAGGCTGAAACAATCCCATTCTCATCCCTAAACACACCCCCAATTCCTGAAAGCCCCAGGTTCCCTCTACTACTACCATCAAAGTTCAGTTTTATAAAACTGGAGGGAGGGGGAAATCCAGGGCACGCTCAGGACTGTTTTCACCTAGGTACACTTAGCAATCTCTCCCCACTTTCTAAACAGATCATCCACTGTAAAGTCTGTGAACAACACTGAAGATTTCAGCCACTGTACCACTCTTACATGAATCAAATCTATCAGGTTTTCAGCCCTTCTCTCCTTTTCGGAGAAAATTCTTAAATTCCTATCTTCCTACAATGACCAGCACACAGCAGCCCTTAGGCATCTCAACATAGTCCTACTCCTACCCCTTTCCAGCATCCACCTGACAAAGTAAGGAGAAAATAGGCTCTGCAAGTTCAGAGGAGGGGTGCAGCTATGCCCAAAAAGGGAAATTGCGCATTCCCAAATAGTTCTTACAAACTGGCATGAAACCAATAGGTGAAACCCACTCTCCCCATCGGCTTTACAGAGAATACACCAGTAAGGGGATAAGCATGTCTTGGGTCTCTTTTTTTTCTTTTTTTTGAAACAGATCACTAATGTTGATTCTTTCCAGAAACGTTTCCCAACAAAAACTCCCTACCTTAGGAGGAATTGGCTTACACCAAATCTCTTTGACAGGGAAAGGAGGGCCAATGGGGCTGGATGGCTGGGTAAGGATTTGAAAGAAAGAGGCACAAGAGAAAGAGCCCGAAGGGGTGGGGGTCCAGATTCTAGTGTCTTCCTTTTTGGGGTACAATAAAACTTTTTCAAGAAGACCAAGGAGAGTCGAAATGCTGTTTGGGTCTGTGTCTCTAACAGCCCTCCTCAACCCCAAATTCCATCCAGTCACAGAGTTTGAAGATGAAGGGACAAGAAAGGATGAAATTGGCTCATTTATCAATTCCGAGAGGGCAAATAATGATGGAAATTGATCCTTCAAAGGAACATTCCCCACCCAAGTTTGTTCCCAAAATTTTATGAGATTTCCTGAGTTTAAATCATACAAGATCAGAGGGGAGAAAACTGGTAACAGATCATCATCCTCACAAGATGATGAGGTTGAGGTGCTCCTATTTCAACCAGGACTGCAGGTTGTGTCAGAGCAACCAAGACATCATCCTCACAATTCCCACAAGACAATGTTCTGCTGCTACAACTCCTGAGGTCTATTGCAGTTACTATCTTAAAGACAAAACCATAGATGTTATTTGGCATTTCTTCCATTTTTTAATTTAAGATTTAGGTCAGTTTGTGGCATATTATAATGTAACTTAATTAATCATTCATTTTGATCTTCAAGAAGTCATTTTTCCACATCTTTAAAAGATACTGCCTCCAATATGGTATTTATATGCATAAAAATATATGTCATAGGCATATAATATAGTATTTACTAACAATGATGCAACCCAGAAGTACTGGACAACAGAAGCTTGAGACACAACCTTCTGTATGCATAAAAGATACTATATTATAGTATTTTTCCACATCTTTAAAAGATACTGCCTCTAATATGGTATTTATATGCATAAAAATATATGTCATAGGCATATAATATAGTATTTACTAACAATGATGCAACCCAGAAGTACTGGACAACAGAAGGTTGAGACACAAAGAGACAGAAGCAAAAACATGTGATCACTTGCATAAGCATAAAGAGCTTTTTTTAAAATCATAATGAGAAGCCTTGCAAGATGAAAGGCAAGAGAGAGAGATAAAGGTTGGCAAGCTATACTTACATTAGACACCCTTTGGACAACAATGCCTCGCTTGTAGGTTAGACTGAGAGGCCTTTCTAGCAAATGTGAATGCTGGCAGGGGAAAAAAAAGTTAAACCATGCATGCAACTTAATAACAAGCACTATCTTTCTTAGTTCAGAGAAGATAATGGAGGTATCAAAGATAGCAATCCAAGTTGAAAAAAACTGGCATCCCCATATCAGATTAATTTCCTAAAAGATTGCTCTAATTTTTTTAGTGTAAATTGCTAGGTGGATCCCATGATGTTTCTTAGCAAGTAGCACAATCATGAACACAAATCCAAGCTCTTAATCAACAATCACTTAAAATCTACAACTCCTGAATTGGAATATTACTATATATCAGTGACCTCATGTTGTCAGCCTATCCAATTTAGCTACTAGTTACTAGGTAGGTGGATCCCACTCACCTTCTCACATTTAAGGGAATCAAGAATGTTGTCCAAGCTTTCAGGTTCAACAGATGCAGAAACATTCTTGCCACTAGCAGTGATATAGGTTCTCCACTTTGTCAGCCATGATGAAGGCAATAAATAATACCTGCAACCTGGAGAAAGTGCAATGTTTTTTCCCAGGACCAACTTCTCATGATTCTGGCGCTGTTTGAGCTTGGCTGCTCTGCAGCATAAACAATAAAGTCAGGCTTCTATACAACAATATTAACAGTACATTACCAAAAAGATGCTCAAAACTACCTAAGACTATCCTCCAAGCATGCCACTTGCGAAAGTTCTGCACTGCATCGAGCACAAACTTCAGAATCCACAGGGAAAGTTGAACAACCCAAAAGATCATCAGGTTTCACTGCATTAGCACTTTCATAGAAGAAAAGCCAGAGGCTCTCAGGAACCAATAAACGCTTTGCCCCGGCAGCTTGTTCTGGCATCAGTAAACCATGAGGGCACCTAATTGAAGCTGTTGGCCCAGCATCTGCTTCACATGGGGAATCAACATTTTTTCTCCGTAACCACTGTAACAACCTGAAAAACATAACTAGAATTTCATATCTTTTGGAAAAGGCATCACACGTTCTAAAACAATGTACATAAATATGAGCCATTAAGCAAGTTAAAAAGAACACAGCGATACATTACCCCAAAGCTTGTGAATGGGACAAGAGATGTAGGTAGGCTGAACACATGAATTGAATTCACTGAGGGGGTGGGGGAGGGGATCTAAAACATCTATTTTGGTATGACATAATCATCATTGATAAAAATAACGAAGTTCCATCTATATGGAACATCTAAGCTTTCTCCCAACTCCCATCTATATGGAATCAGATAGACCAATCCCATTTCTCCATTCCGTTCTGGTTAGTGTTGTATCCACTGTTAAAATATGACTTGTTAGATCATTTCCTACTACTTCAACCCATGTCCTATTTGGTCTGCCCCTAACCCCTTCCAAATGTAACAGAGCAATTCTTATGGATGCAGTAGATGGTCTTCTCAGTACCCAACCAAACTGTTTAGTCCACTTTCCCTCATTTTATAAGTTATCACCTTGGAGATATTTCTATCCATCAAATGAGGATATTTCTGATCTTGTCCTTCCTATTTTCCTAACTAATCAACCTCAAAAATTCAAATTTCATCCACATCATTTTTTTGACATATTGTTTCCTGACTGCCAATGCTTTGCTCTATACAGAATTGTTGGCCTTTAACTGTTTTTATATTTTTTTCCTTTTAGCCCAAGTAGTATTCACCTATACATAAGACTCTTATTGCACCCCTCCATTTTAGCCATCTTGCTCTTTAGGCAACATCCTCCTCAATCTCTCAGATTGACAATTTTTCTTTTAAATTCTCCTAAAATGTCCTTTGCTATTTTCTTTATATAGTTAGTCATTTCAAGCCGCAGATCATTTTCTTCATCTAAATTTCAATTTTCTTCTACCACAATTATGTCTCCAAATTGTGTGCAAGTTTTTACCTAATTCTTGTGCACTTATTTTCTTCTCTCCTTTTCTTCCATTTTTAATGCATACATCTACCACCATTTTTTAAAGGAAATGGTATCTTTCATAGTTTCATAAATTAAAGTATAAAGAATTAGTACAGTGGTCCAGTTCCCAAGAAGATGGAAACTAACCCCAATAGAATTCATTCTTACAATTCAGCCCAAAAGAGTTCACCCCTGGTTACCCCTTGTTTGCTAAAGTATCCGCCAAACTATTTGCAGATCTTCTCACCCATCTAACAGTTACACTTAAGTCCCTTGAAAGACATCTAATTTCCTTCATAGTTTGCCTGTGATTCCAAATCCCAAGCTACCAGTTTGAAGCCACCCCACAACCAGTTTAGAGTCTCCTTTCACTTCAATTTGTTGCAGGTGTGCAGTTGTCTTGTCGATCTCAGCTCCTGTAATAGGGCTAGCACATCAGCTCTTAAAGAGACCCTCTCCAATAGACCCAAAACATAAAACCACAACCTTCCCTTCTTTATGTCTTATTACTCCACCTATGCCCAAAGGACCGCAATTGCTTTGAGAAATCCCATCAAAATTTAGCTTGAAGCTTTGTCCACCACTGCACTCCACTTCCTCCTAAAATCATCAAAGGAAAAGTCCTTGAACAGATCCAAGGATTTTAGCCAATGGACAACCTTGAAAAAGATGCTGTTAATTAACTCTTTGAGTTAGTCCAATCTTGAAAGATGTGGTTATTCCTTTCTTCCTAAACTGCCCCATACATCTACTACCATTAAATTATGTGGTATGGTTAACCTTTCCCCTACAATAACTTCAAAGTCCTATACATCATTCATTCTATTCTCCTAGTGTGAAGAAAAATCTATTTGACATTAATACTATCCAATTATTTCTGGTTTTATGAATTTAATCCAATCTTAAATGTTATTAAATGTTCATCCTTCCTCTTAAAATATATGTTTAATATAGCCAAATCAATAGCCATTGCAAATTCAAAAGGTTGCATCTCCTATTCTATTCCTCCTGCCAAAACTAAATGTTCCATGCACGATATCATATCTTACACTTCTTTGACATGCCCATGTAGATCTCCTATAAAATCCTTTCTTCATTTGGTGTTTCTTGGATTAGTTCTACGAAGTTTTCCCAAAATTGCATTTTAAAATTTTCTTGTAAACCCACTTGAGGTGTGTAAGCACTAGACCTGTTCATGGGTCGGGCCGGGCTTTCACTCCTCATTAGCAGAATGTTTTCAAGCCCGAGCACAAACCCAGCCCGACCAACAGGCCTACAACTTGGGCCCGAGCCCGGCCCTCTTAAAAAGCCCGAAGCCCAACCTAACAATGATTTTTTTCACTTTTATTGAAGATTGCATCCTGAGTTCGCTGATGAGAATGAGTTCGCCGGAGTTCACTGGTGGCGCTGCTGTTCACTGGTGAGAATGAGAACATTGAGAAGATGTAACAGAGAGAGAGAGAGAGAGAGAGAGAGCGTGAATTCACCGCCGCAGTTCACTAGTGGCGTCGATTCCTAAGAAATGAGAATACACGACAGTGCCTGAGCTCGTGTGTCGCCTCTGAGATTGACAATGGTGGCTGCCTGTCTGGGTTTGCGCCGATTCTTGAGTGAGAGTGAGGAGAGAAGATGAAGACTGTTAGAATGCTCAAGTCAGGGGTATTTTGGTCATTCTGGTTTATCCTCTTGAAAGTGAAAGGCCTATTGTATCTGAGTTTAAGTTATGTGTCCCATCTTCTATGAGGGACAAAATAGTCTTTCTTGTAACTCTAAATTTTATGAATAAAATTCAAGTGGGTCGGCTAGGAGAGTGAGATTTTCACATTCTCTCTTCTAGTCTGGCCAAATACTCTTCTTCTCTCCTTCTTCTTCTTTCTCTTTTCTTTCTTCTTTCTTCTTCTCTACTTTGACCTAGAATCAACTAGGGTTTATTCACATGGTATAAGAGCAATAAGGTCTCGTGTTCTCTCTTCTTGCTGCTGTCCTCTTCCTAGGTTCGCTGCCAGCTTCACAGTAGTTCTCATCTTTCAGCTGACCTGATTGGAGATTCGATAAAGGGCTGAAAAAGGAGGAGTCGTTTTGAGGGCCTGGAGGTGAGAATGCCTCTGGCCGGTGTTGTGGTGGTCGTTGAAGTGGTAYACTAGACCCTCTATTCAGTGTACGAAGAGGGCTGAACGTAGACAGGAATGAACACTACTGTTGTGTGCTCAAATAATGGACTTGAATGCTATTTTGTGCTTCAAAAAGTTAGTTGTTGTGGAGCTTGGTGAGACTGATATGCATATCAGTCATGTTCTTTGTTTTCTTGCTCATATGTGTGATGAAAGAAGAGTCGTAGACTGCTGAAGTCCACGACAGCAGTGGCGTGGTGGTGGTTGTGTCGTGGTGGCTGACATATCTATGATTCTAAATGCTTAAAAGTGAACTCCTAGACCTTGCGTGTAATCAGTTCTGCAGTATGAAGAACAAGTGTTCGATGAAATGACTGAGTGTTTTTCAGCCTTGGCGTGTTGATGGTAAATGGTCCTGCAGTGTGCAGTCAAGGTGTTTGATGTGTTGACTGAATGATTTCAGCCTTAGTGTGTAGTGTGTAATTTGCAGTTGAAGAAGTTGGAGTTGGTGGTATCATAAGTGAGATAAGTCTTGTGAAGTGTGCGAGGTTGTGGTGTATATTTGAAGGTGAAATAATTAAGATGGCTTCATCTGCAGATGGGAATGACAACAAAACAGGCATCATGCCTTCTCTAGATTATCTAAGTGTTCAAATGACATCCATCAAGTTGAATGGTGAGAAYTATRTACCATGGGSAAAATCYGTGGAGGTGTTCTTGAAGGCCAAGAGGAAAGTAAAACATGTGAG